AACGATGCCAGTTAGTGATTTATGTATTTGTACCCCCTAGGGTTTATGTGACCTTTAAGGGTCATCATGAAGTGTTGAGCAAGTGGTTCCCAATCCTAAGGATCGAGAAGATTTTTTGTCAGATGGTTCCAAAACCCTAAGGTTTGTTAAGGGATGTTTAGCAAAGAATGGCAAAGCCTAAGGGTCTTAATGAGCTGTTTAGCAAGTTGTGCCCAACTGTAAGGGTCGTAATGAGCTGTTTAGCAAGTTGTGCCTCAACGGTAAGGGTCATAATGAGCTGTTTAGCAAGTGGTGCCCAACTGTAAGGGTCATAATGAGCTGTTTAGCAAGTGGTGCCCAACTGTAAGGGTCGTAATGAGCTGTTTAGCAAGTTGTGCCCAAACTGTAAGGATCAAAATGGCAGCTATATCAAATCAGAGGACACCAGAAATTGGCTACACACATTATCCAGGGAGGGTATCGAATCAGAATCTTTGGTGTGACTAGATAACGCTGTAACCACAAGGCTTACCCTCCAGCTAGTCAGCAACAGAACTGGGATGACATTCAGTAGTTGTAAGTCACAAGCAGATGGATCTGTGGTAATATTTCTAAATAAATAAATAAAACACCACTCTCAAATAACAGAACAATAAATATCTAATGCCACTCACAGAAGTTAAATATCTCAAGATGGATTATTGACAAGCAGGATACATTAACAATATATAATTCATATATCAATCAGCAAACATGATTGTGGAATGAATAACTGTTTATCTGATGCTGCGTAGTGCAAAATTTTTATTCCAGTGCATTTGCTGAACTGGTGATCTGGCTCACTGACCCACTGATCATAATGCTATTATGATAAGGGTCTTGGGTCCAAGTGATGGTTCCGGTGAAACCCCTTATCTAACTGACGTGCTGGTCTGCTTGGGGGAATTAACTCAGCAAAGAGTCCGAAGTCACAAGAAGCTAATCACAATTTTATTACAAGAACGGAAAAACATGGGGTGGCCACAGAGAGTCGGTACAACCCTCTGGGCTGAGGGCTAGAGCTGACCTGTGTTAGGAGTCTAAACCCTACTGCTGGACAAATGCAGTTAGAGACATTTTATCTACAATTAAAACAATAAAGAGATTACGATTGGTTCACTGATACAAAAAATGGGTGTAACCTACATTAGCCTATCAAATACAGAATATACAAAATGGGGTGTGACCTACTAATGACATGACCAGGCAGGGGAAGTACTCTTAATCCTGTTAATCCTATTTTAACTGGCACTAATCTCGATGGCACTTTTACTGGATGCTTGGATGCTTACCCTGGGCTAGATCTTAACGAGCCTAATCTGATGTGTCAATTATAGGTGCTTGGATTACAATAGATGCGTTTACTCTGGGCCATGTCTTTATGACCCTTAATTGGTGTTTGCTTAAAGTTTTGTAATATAGATGATGACATGTTTACTTTATGAAAGCAGTTCATTTAATCGTCTGGTCATAACTCTGAATTACTGAAAGGGTTGCTAACAGCTTGAGTCCTTGATACCTTAGGCTAGGATTTTATCTTGAACATCTGTGAAATTGTGCAGCCATAATTTATACCTTTTTCAATAGTATGTCTGTGAGATGAGTTTTACAACTTTTGACTGGAGTCTTTCTCTAAGCTATTACTAATATTCTGTATTTATATTTTTCTAATATCTGAATCCTAATATATTGCTTGTAGTGGTAATAATGAATAATGAATTTTGTATGAATTATTATTCCATGATAGATATATTCATGAAGAGTATTTTGCCATTGCGGGGGAAATTGATGACCTTGTCTTCTTGTTTTCCCTAAATTGCCCATCAAGGTATCTTTGTTTACAATCCTGCATAAATCCTTGAATTTTTTAACTTTGCTGCTCATGCCAGGGATTTTGCTCATGCACCCAGTAGAGCATACCATTTTCCAGGTGAGATAGGTATTTTATGTCTATATTTAAATATTTCTACTATTGTCCGTACTATTTTTTGCAGAAAGGCCAGACCAATTTTATGTCTTTGTTTTGGGGATTATTGTCCTCAGAAAACCTAAAGGCAGGAGGGAAAAAAAATAAAAATAAAATCTCCAGTCAAAGTAATATTCTTTCTAAATACTCAAAGTACTTTACTTTTGGAAATTTATGAAGTGTATATGGGGCAAAAAACAATCTAAAAAAATTCTTATAAGTTTACATTTTTGGCCCATATGAACATTAGGATTTTATTTTTTGAGCGGAAAAAATTGTTAAATTTTTTTTTTCTTATTCTTGAAAAAAATATGACAGGCGGATCCGTAAAACAAGAAGTAAAATTGGTCTGGCCAAAGTATTTAATAGCAATGCTGACAGCTAAAATGAATTGTATGTATAGTTGTTTTTGCCATGTTAACGTTGTCAACTTATACCGTGATAATACTGATGGTCATAATGCAGTATATCAATCCAGCAATGACTGATAAGAATAACAATCCAGGGTTCGTTGATAAGAGTGTTCAGTATTCTGCCACTTCACTCTCACAGTAATTTATTGATGACAAATGGTCTTTTAAGCAATATGAATAAGATAAGCTTTCAGATACTATTGTTTTTTTCCCCCCCAGCAGCAACGGACATTGGTCATTCTGAAAGTGAAAGACGACACGATGGCAGCAGGCTTGATTGAATAAACAATTACATTGATAAATGTGTTAGTAGTTCGTACATAGCTCCTAAAAAAAAGTAAAACTAAAAATATCTGACCTACCTACCCTAAATTTTAAAGCAGTGTAATCGGAACCACAACAAAAAATTTATTTGGCCTTATATGGATGTATTTATGTAGATGTGTGAGGCTTTTATGCATTATGACTCAACAATCATGTAAAACACTTCCAAAATGATTTGATGTGAGTCATCGCTGATGCAATATGTTTTCAAATAAGTGTACCTTGAGGTTGAAACTTAAGTTTAGTGTTATTCCAGTGAGTGTAACTGCAGGCTGAGTTACTTAATACAGTTACAGAGTCTGTCCCAGTTTAAACTTGTACCATCAATGCAAAAAGTTTAAGAATGAAACATAAAATCACAATTTTTTGAGTGGGGTGAGGTGAAATTGGGTTTTACGTCGTGCTTGAGAATATTTCGCTCATATGACGACGTGCATGCATATGGGTATGTACGGCTGTTTGTACTAGCCCAGACTTAAGCTGGTTTTATAGTGCTAGCCCACTGAGATACCATGCCGCAGTGAAGCATGAATACCCCACTCAGACACATTATACTGACTCCGAGCTGACCAGTCCTTGTTGTACCCATTAATGCCGAGCGTCGGGCAGGGACCAACAAGTTCCATATTTTAATGTCTTTTTGGTATGACGCAGTCGGGGATCGAACCCGCGACCTTCCGCTCTCTGAGCGGACGCTCTAACCACTACACCACAGAGGCGGTCATTCTTTGAGTGGCATTGTAGAAGTTGGATAGTACAATATTGAACAAACTTTAAGGATAACCACTTTTTTTATTTCGTGAGTGAGATGTTTGGATACATATTCTTGCATCGTTGTCCAGCAGGAAATCTCACAAATTTAGAAAATGACTCAAAACCATTTTCTTTTGTTAGTCACTGTGACTCTGTCAAAGTCTCTTCAAATCACGTGTCTGGGATCGAACCCGCGACCTTCCGCTCTTCGGGCGGACGCTCTAACCACTACACCACGGAAGCTGTCCAGACTCGATTATTTACATACCACTGCTATATAGCTGGAATATTGCTGAGTCAGTGCAGAGTTGAACAACAAACCTCCAATCCTTACTGATTTATGCCTAGGTGTTATATGCCTATGTGATCAACTTGTCGTACCTAATTACATTATGGAAATGTTCAGTGTTGTATCAAATCTGTCAGTATGAATCATGTGCATTAATAATTAATGGTGTACAGTCTGTAAATAATTGAGTCTGGACCAGTGATGAACAGCATGAGCATCTATCTGCACTATCGTGAGTGCGATGTTTCGATACATTGTCTTGCATCGTTGTCCAGCAGGAAATCTCACAAATTTAAAAAATGACTCAAAACCATTTTCTGTTAGTCATTGTGACTGTCACAGTCTCTTCAAATCATGTGTGTGTATTTTATATGTGACTGTCAGTCTTAAAACCACAGTCATGCTTCAATAATTGAACATAATTGCTTGACTTTCGTTACTTAAATTAATGTTTCAAGTCACTCTCAGCATGTTTTATTGGCAGAAAGTCACGAAAGGTCAAATATGAATTGAGCTGACACATGTTTCGAAAGTCGTTCTAATTGTGCCAGAGATGATTGTCTGCAGTTGACCCTGGTATCTGGATCACTAACCACATCTTAGCGATACACAGAATATTTTCTGTAGCACACCTGACAGTAACATGGAAAAGTAGAAAAATGGAGATTGGATGGTCATTCTCACTGATTTGGTTGACACATGTATCCCAACTGCATAGATCGATGCTCATGATGTTGATCACTGGATTGTCTGGTCCGACTCAATGATTTACAGACGACCTCCGTATAGCTTGAATATTGCTGAGTGGTGTGTTTAACAACAACCAAGACAAACAATAACCTGTGTGTCAGGTTTGAAGTTATACAAAATCACACAGAGTGGGTTGCCATAAGTTTTGAAAAAGACCCCCTGTAAGTTTGCTGAAGGGAGGGACTTTGTCCCCACTTGTTCTGTTACATGGCAGAACACTTCCCTGTTTGTTAGTTTCACACAGGCACAGGGGCTTGTAACACAAAAACTAACATCAAGGTATAAATTGTCACTACCAGGATCTTAGCACTATGTGAAAGGTTTATGTACAGGCTAGTGATAAGTCCCCGTCGGTGACAATATACATCTTGATGTCATTTTTGGGCATTGCAAGCCGCTGTGTACACAAAGCCCTAATTAGAAATGTCTTGAATTCAGAAGGAAAGCATTACTCTTCTTTGACATGATCACAATGTGCTCCTTGCAGACTCCATGGCTCCATCTGTAGGGAACAGGGCGCTGCCACCAATGAAGCACTTCTACCGCAAAGTGCTCCCGCCATCCTGTATCTCATTCTCATCCGAGGATGGCAAGAAGTTCTTCAAGGCAGCCATTTTGGAAGGAAATATGGAATGTTACTTCAAGCTTGCTGCACAGTTTCGAACTCAAGATGAGCCTGCGTTTTGTGGACTGTCTACAATGGTGATGGTCTTGAATGCCCTTGACATTGACCCGGGTCGCATTTGGAAAGGGGTATGGCGATGGTATCATGAGAACATGCTCGACTGCTGTGTGCCCTTGGAAATTGTGCAACAGCGAGGTATCAATTTTGACCAGTTTCTGTGTGTGGCCAGTTGTAATTCTCTCAATGTTGAAGCTACAAGAATGAATGAGGGTGTAATGTCTGTTGAGGAATTCCGAGAATTGATCAGAAACTACACAAAGAGAGATGATGCATTTGTTGTGCTGTCCTATTCTCGCCCAGCCCTTGGCCAGTCCGGAGAAGGTCATTTCTCTCCAGTAGGAGGCTATCACCCTGGAAACGACCTTGTGTTGATTCTGGACACAGCGAGGTTCAAGTATCCTCCACACTGGGTGCCCCTGGAACTCATCTACGAAGCAATGAAAGAGATCGATCTGGATACAGGTGATTATTAGGGCTGAGACGAATGCATCGCGATACATTGAAGTTTGATACAGCTATCATATCGTGGACTGGTGTATCGATACAAAACGATACACAACTTTTTTTTCAAAACAGTATTATCTTGTAAATGTTACAGTACTTATTTAGAGCAAAATACACAAGTATGATGGAGTTACTTGTTTGTTTATTACAATAGTGTTATTGTTAAACACAAATACCTTGAAATAAGTCATTTTAAATCTTGATACCGTGTCATTTTTTTCAAGGTGTATATATCGTGATATGTATCGTATCGCAGGTAAAATATCGCGATATGTATCGTATTGTGACATTAGTATCGTCCTAGCCCTAGTGATTATTGCTAGTAGCATGTTCCGCATATATACAGGGACTTTAGACACTAAACATACATACATTTAATCTGAACACAAGTAATCTGTTAATCCACGAGATGAGAATAAATTGTCATTCTACAGGGGGCGGTGGGGTAGCCTAGTGGTTAAAGCATTGGCTCGTCACGCTGAAGACCCGGGTTCCAATCCCAACATGGGTACATTGTGTGAAGCCCATTTCTGGTGTCCCCTGCCGTGATGTTGCTGGAATATTGCTAAAAGCGGCGTAAAACTAAACTCAGTCAGTGTCATTCTACAGGGATTGTAATTTGTGCTTTAATTTTCAGTCACTGGTTTGACTTTCCATGAAGATCTGGGTTAGAATTGGTCTTCAGTGACCCATGCTTGTCATAAGAAGTAAAGGGATCGGGTCAGGTGGTCAGTGGGCTTGGCTGACACATACCATGGACACATACACTGGAAGTGTAATGATAAATTAAGGTTTTGATTAATCACAATTTGTCCATGTTTTTCTCGAATTGATTTGCTTATCACAATGTTACATTTTTCAGGGAAGCCCCGCGGTTTGATGGTGATGTCGAGCAGGAAAGAAAGTCATCCTCTTTTGTTGTTCCGCCTGTCGAACAACATGAGTCTGACTGCTCGGAGTCTCTTTCATCCAGCTCTCCCAGAGTTTATGCTGAAATGGAAGACTCGAACGGACAGAATACCCGAGGAATCATTGTCCAGCGATGCCCTTGCCGAGAGAGCTGCACGGGAAATGATGCAAGCTTTGGCTGAAATTAGAGACAATTTAACTATAATGACCACCCAGCTGGACATCACCTGCCCACAAGACGTTGCTGAAGAGCATGAGTGTCTCATACAACACCTTATCTTAGCTCTCCAACAGACTGTCATATTTGAAAAAGTGTCAGATGTTTTCAAATCTCTTCCTGAGGACACCAAGGACACAATGGAGAACTTGTTTGAACCTTCGTGGCCTAGTTGTAATGGGAAATGTCAGCCTTTTAACAAACTAAAATGTGAACACTTTATTGCATTTTTCATTCTCAGTTGGCCGTACAAGGCAGGGGCTTCAGGGGAGACAACTCTTGCACATCTCTATGACCAAATGTTTGAAGAAGAGCTTGAGAGGATGTCTGTGGATGTTTTAAGAAATGAAGTGAAGTCCTTAAAAGATCAGTTGAATGTTGTCAGGCAGTATTATGAAAACAATCCCAAAGGTCCAGGGCCATGTTGCAAGAAAAGAAAAGTTTGAGAGGCCTTTTCATTCTGAGGGGATAGTTTATTTCATGTACCAAGACACTCAAAGTTTTGACCACAAATAATTTACATACTATTCACAAATTTGCAAAATCAAAAAACTTGCTTCATCACACTACCTGCTTTTGATGTCGTATGGAAATGTATTCACATAAAACCTCAACTTGCCAGGACATGGTCGCGTCAGGATAAACATTTACATTTTCTGGCAGTGAATAGAACATGTGCCCAAAGAACAAAGGATCATTTTTCACCCCCTGTCTCATCTTAACTACAAATGTTAAACTAATATATGATGGTGCTTGTTGTTGTCCAGTCCAGCTGTAGGAATTAAGTGAGTGAGTTTAGTTTTCGGGTTGACAAGCGAATGATTTTACCACGAGGTTACACCCCTGCCCCTCAGGTGTGAGTAGAGCTGGTGAGGTAGCCTTGTGGTTGAAGCGTTCGCTCGCTCATCACGCCGAAGACCGGGTTCGATTCCCGGATGGGTACAATGTGTGAAGCCCATTTCTGGTGTCCTCCGCCGTGATATTGCTGGAATATTGCTAAAAGTGGCGTAAAACTAAAGTCACTTACTCACTCAGGTGTGAGTAAGATGCAGTGTTTGCCCTTAACCCTGAAAACCTGCAGGCCCTAAGGACCCCAAACCATAAAAAGTTGTGGGTCCTGATCGGAATGTGTAGGCCCTATATCTTAATATAGAAATAATACTCTTAGTTATTGGGGATGAAAAAGCTGTCAGCCATAAGGACCGGCAGAAAACATAAGCAGTGCGTCCGAGTGGTTTTCAGTCAGCTTCGGGCCTAAGGATGAGGTTAATTTTCAAAGCTGGTGCGACGTGGGTCTTGTAAATATCCATGAATGCCATGAATTCTTTATCTGTGCCATTCCCCTGTATTGTCTCCTTATGGTTATAGTGAATTAAGACCCGTGAAGATCCGGGTTAGAATGAACCTTCAGTAACCCATGCTTGTCATAAGAGGTGACTAACGTGATCGGGTGGTCAGGCTCGCTGGCTTGGTTGACACATGTCATCGGTTCCCAATTGCGCAGATCGATGCTCATGCTGTTGATCACTGGATTGTCTGGTCCAGACTTGATTATTACAGACCGCCACCATATAGCTGGAATATTGCTGAATGCGGCATAAAACTAAAACTCACTCACTCACTCACTATAGTGAATTAAGATCAGGTTTCAGGATTTTTGGCCTGTTTCTATTTTATTCTTTATACACAAAGCTTACTTTGGTGGAAGAATGTGTTTATATATCTTTTTGCAGAGGATAGTGATTTTGTAACATATTTCTGTTGCAATATGTCAAGATTTTATTGTTATGTCTTTCACTCAAACTGATTTAAATGAGGCCTGAATAGTGCTAACAACTCACCTATTCAAAACCATAGAGGGCTAGTAGTGTGAAGGTGTTCTGTGAGTCTGTGTGTAAATGCTTTTATATATTTTGTACATATACATAGTGTTTAAAGGTAACTACATGAAAATCACATCTCACAAAAATGAGGATATCCCATAACAATCAATGTCTGAAATTTTTCTGATATTGCAGAGTTACTTTTGTGTGTTTTCAATTATAATCTCAAGGTAATTTCAATCTCAGTCATCTTTTAAACATTCTTTTCTCCAGTTTCGTTTCTCCAGTTTTAAAATTTTGAATTGAGAACTGTTTAAGATTATTATTATTAACTGTAGTAAGGAAGTTGCTGTATTAAATTTAATGCCTTAAAGCTCGAGAATGCTGCATTTTGATTGGCTGATGTTGACATCCTGTTTGCAGTTTTGACAACTTTAATGAAATGCCCTTAGACTTTTGATGAAGTAAGGAACACAAAGATTGACATTCGATACGATTATGTTCAGAGGTTTCAAATGATGAATTGGTCCAGCTCTGTTTATGTCATTTCAAGAAATAAGATCATCTGTATTTGTACAGAAACTTGTTAATTGGCTGCCTTTGTTGACAATGTGGCTTCTGGGTGCTGAGTAGATCTCGAAATATTGTATTAGAATCCCTGATTTACACTTGGTGTATATGATCGATGTTGAGTCTTCTACAGACAGGTACTAGTATTTATGAAGGTCATGGTTTTACTAATTCCAAATCATATTTTTTGACAATATTTCATTTCATGTACAATTTTTAAAGAAAATTGTTTTTTGCCATTTCTTGCCGAAATAATGTTATAGTGAGTCAGAAAATGTGGTCCTAATGGAATTCACATTAATAGGATATATATCATTTTCAAGCATTGAACACATGTTCCCAAACTGCTGACAACATACCTGCCACTAGTATTTTACTCTAATTTATGCCATTTATCAAAATACTCAGAAGCTTCAAAGGGAAACAATAGTCTGAATCGCGGTAATCAACACAAATTTATTTATTGCCAATTAATGTCAGACATGGTCATGCTTCTCACAGTCAAGCTGACATGTCATTGTATTCCAGTTGTTTAGATCGATGTTCATGATGTTGATCACTGGATTTTCTGGTCCAGACTTGATTTTTATGTCTAGAATATTGCTGAGTGCGGTGTAAAACAACAGCAACAACAACACAGTCAGGCTGTAATAGCATATCTTATTGATGCAAATCAGACTGCTCTGATTTCAGAATAATCATATAACAAACAGGATTGGTTGGTTGGTGTGTTGTTTAACACAGCACTCAGCAATATTCCACCTATATGGTGGCAGTCTGTAAATAATCGAGTCTGGAATAGAAAATCCAGTGATCAACAGCATGAGCATCGACCTTCGCAATTGGGATATGATGACATATGTCAACTAAGTCAGCAAGCCTGGCCACCCGATCCTGGTCGCCTTTTTCGACAAGCATGGCTTACTGAAGACCAATTCTAACCCGGATCTTCACGGGTCTAACAAACAGGGCAAAAGTCAGATCACATGATTTGCAAATTAGCTTGTCACAGGAGCTGACTCTCAAATCATCAACCGCCTCCGTGGTGTAGTGGTTAGAGCGTCCGCCCGGAGAGCGGAAGGTCGCGGGTTCGACGTTAAAATATGGTACTTGTTGGTCCCTGCCTGGCGCTCGGCATTAATGGGTACAACAAGGACTGGTCGGCTCGGAGTCAGTATAATGTGTCTAGTGGGGTATTCATGCTTCACTGCAGCATGGTATCTCAGTGGGCTAGCACTACAAAACCAGCTTCAGTCTGGGCTAGTACAAGCTGCCGCACATATACATACACACGCATGCACGTCGTCATATGAGCGAAATATTCTCAAGGACGACGTTGAACCCAATTTCACCTCACCTCACCTCAAATCATCACCATCCTGAGTGAGGGATCTTATGTAGTATGTCTTTTAACATCACATTGAAGGTCTAAAGAACAAATTCTGAAACAAGGTTCTTCAATTCCATGGCTACAGCCATTACTAATATACAGTATTCACCCTTGACACAACTGTATGTTTTCATCTGATCATATTTGGGCTGATTTCTCGGAGGGCCAGGGTTTCTGGTGTCTAGTTTCACATAGCAAAATTCCTGAGAGTACTTTTTAATGCTTCATAGTTCGATAACCTTGTCTTTCATGTTATTCAGTGTTTTGAGTTCTATCATTTCTGTGATAATAGAATGATTGATGTTCACAACTCTGCATACAGTGTCATAGAGTTGCACAAGATTAAATGTTTATATTGTTGGACTTGGTCTTGTTTTTATCGAAGACTCTCAAGTTAGTGAGTGAGTTAAGTATTTACAAGCGTTTAGCAATATTAAAACTATCACAGCGGGTTCATCAGAAATGGGCTCCACACGGAAGACTGTTATCTATGAAGTGGTAGAATTAGTAGATGAGCCCCAGTTACAGTTTAATATCGCTCAGATAGGATTTATACATGTAGGGGCACATCCTTGTAGGGCAATATGTCTTACCTCATCACTGGTGCTGTGGGTAAAACTCTGGTCACAATTAAGTTAAGCATCGTTGGGCGCTAAGAGTCTTTGGATGGGTGACTGTGTTTTGCAGCTTGACTCCTGAGAGTTTCTTCGGCTTCAGTCCTGTCCCCCAATAATATAATAATAATAGTGGATATTTGTAAAGCGCCAGTGTCCACCCACTCATGCATGCTCATGGCGCATTAAAACTATTTACAAAAGAAGGGAAAATGTCAATTATAGGCTTTAGTAAAAAGGAATGTCTTTAGGTCCTTAAAAGAGTCCAGGGTCGGGGCGAGTTTGATTTGGAGTGGTAGAGAGTTCCATAAGAGAGGCGCGACATGCTGAAAACTCCTATTTCCACAAGAGGTGAGCCGAGCTTGAGGTACTTTGAGGAGCTGTTTATCCTGGGAACGTAGAGTTCTGGAAGGCACATACTGAGTTAGGAGAGATGTAGGGGCAAGGTTGTTGAGACACTTAAAGACTGTACACAGAACTTTGAAGTCAACTCGGTATTGAACAGGAAGCCAGTGCAAAGACTTTATCACAGGGGTTATATGATCATATTTAGAACTCAAAGATATAATTCTAGCAGCTGTATTCTGCACTTTCTGGAGTTTTTTCATGTGTTCTTTGGATATTCCAGTGAGAAGGCTATTGCAGTAGTCTAGGCGGGAAGACACAAGACATCTGACCAGGATATGTGCACTCTCTTTAGTGATGTATTTTCGGATGGAACGAATGTGAAAGTAGCATGTCTTACACAGATGATCCACTTGTGCAGACATGGAAAGGTCTGACTGTAGCTGTACTCCAAGATCTTTAACTTGTCGTGATGGGGAGATACAGGCAGAAGCAATCATCACTCGCTCAACATCTACCTTGTCGATGTGCTGTTGTCTTCCGACCAATATTACCTCTGTTTTGTCGTCATTTAACTTTAGTTTTCTTTCGGTCATCCATGACTTAATTTCAGAAGTACAGTTTTCAATTTGTTGTAGGGTGTCAGAAATTGATTCAGTGTTAAATCTATTCATCAGTTGAACACCAGCTGCATATGAAAACTGAGGAGTCACAAACTTGTCAGTTATGGTTTTGAGACAGTTTACGTATAAGAGAAACAACACAGGTCCCAACATTGAACCTTGTGGGACTCCACACAAGAGCACTGTCTGATCCGAAAACTGCCCCAAGACATATACAGGCTGCCGCCTGACATGGAGATAAGATGCAAACCAAGAGAGCACTGTTCCACTGATACCAACTTGATGCTGTAAAAATGTCCAGAAGCTTGTGATGATCAACCGTATCAAACGCTGTACTGAGATCTAAAAGAGTCAGCGTTGGCATGTCACCAGAATCACTAGACACCTGAGATCATTAACAACTCTCAGGAGCAAGGTCTCTGTTGAATGCTGCGGACGATAAGCAGACTGATAGTCATCAAGGATGTCATGGGGGTTGATATGCTTCATCAGTTGTCTGGTAACAGCTTTCTCCACAAGTTTTGAAAGAAAAGTCAAGTTTGAAACGTCCGATAGTTTTTGAGTATGTTGGTAT